GCTTCCCCACCGCGAGCACCTCGTCTATACATGAGTTTGGTGGACCACATCCAGTGTAATTCAATGGAAGTCTGCTATAACCCTTGCGAGTCTGTATTGCTATCATTATCATCATCGTCTAGTACTGATGCAAAGTCTTTCCACCAAGATTTGACAATGCCAGGGATGGGAGGACACAACATGATGATTCTTCGCGGCTTGATTCTATACATTGTTTGCAGAAAGGCGTGTATCTATAATCCCACCACCAGACAATGCGTAACCTTACCCGCCGTCAAATCCAACATTTTTGCTCAAGAAGACTATCGTAAGAGTGTCCTCTACTTTTTAGGACACGATCCTGTTCTTGATCAATACAAAGTAGTTTGCACTGTTGCAGTATCCTCAAAAAGGTTTAAGAGGATAACCTCAGAGCATTGGGTCTTCGTCCTAGAACCCGGAGGTTCGTGGAAAAGAATTGAGTTTGATCTACCTCATTGTCCTGCACGACTAGGACTGTGCATCAACGGAGTCATATATTTTTTGGCTTCCGCTTGTATGTCTAGCGATATCCTTGTCAGTTTTGATGTTATGTCTGAAGAGTTCAAATGGATCCAAGGACCTCCTGTCGCGTCTGCATTTAAGCCCATGGGTTTTATAGAGTATCTTGGAAAACCATCTGTTTTTGATCATTCCCATCTTAAACGCAAAGGTTCCGTGGACTTATGGGTCTTGGAAGATGCTGGAAAATGGTCGAAGAAATCCCTGGTTTTGCAGCCTTGTCAGATGCATTTAGTTGATAAGAAATTATCATTCACGGTTAAAGGTACTACTCAAAACGGCGAGATTATCTTGGCACCCGTATTGTTGCATTCCCCTTATTACGTTTTGTATTATGATCCCAAAAAGAATGATTTGAGAAAGGTTAGAATCAGAGGAATACCGAAACAATGGTTTGGTAAGCTTGATGACACCAACTTACTTTTTTATTTCGATCTTATGGATGAGAGTGAAAGTATCCTGCACTTGGAAATTTGAAATTGCCATGTCGACATTTCTTACCTTCAATACATTGGGAACTATTTATTTTGTAATTTTGTTTTATTTATGTTGATTGTTTTTTTTTTTTTTTGATATTTTGAATTTTGAACTTACCTTTGTTTTTTATGGTGACAAAATTGACTTTGATCAAAAATCATCTTACTAAGAAGAATAAGAAACATGGTAGCTAGTATATTATGATTTATTGATTGATTTTATTATAAATAAATTTAAATTTTTGCATAAGTTAAAAATGAAAAAAAACTTTACTTAATGTGAAACATAAGGATTATGAGTTTCCCATTATGTTTAACTAGGAAGCGGACACGTGCGTTACCGCACGGGAAAGCGAAAACTTGAAATAGTTAAAATTGCTAAATCGTTTAGAGTGGAAACTTGCTTATTCTAAAACCACATAAGTCTGGGTTTGCGGAGTTTTAGGGGAAAATTATTGGCAAAGTTAGCATCTTTCAGCCAATTGCTTTTCTATTGACCATGTCATGATCATAATCGGAGCAAGAGTTGCCGGTATAGAGTTTTCAACATAAATTCCTTTATATTTGACTTGTTGGTGCTTTCAATCTTTCTATTCTA